TGTTGACACTAAAATATCTTAAATATGAATTGTTCCATATTATTATGCGCTCATATACTCATATTCATTGTTGTATACAAGAAATTTTTGCGCTCGATTGTTCCCTGTATCACTAACATATAAGGAACCTTGGCTATCGAATGCAATGCTGAATGAACTATTTAATTGATTGAAAATTGCTCCTACTGTCATTGAACAGCCAGTAATGCAATCGCCAGCGCAAGCATTGGGTGCCCAACACAGGATTCGGTTATTATTTTTATCACAGATATACATGTATTGATTCATATCGAGCACTACCGCTGTTGGATAATTGAGTAGATATAAACTAGTACCTGTCTAGGTCACTCGACCTGCAACAGTATCATCCCAGCAAGCATTGACTTTCCATCGTTAAATACGATGAATATACATATCAGCAATATACAGGGTGAGAGCATTATCGACAAATATGCCGTATGGACAAAAAAGTACATTTGACCCGTCCCCGGTTGTGCTTGTACCCGCTACAATGCTAGCATTTGTACCATTTGATGAACTTGATGGAAATCGTAAAACTCTATGATTGCCTTGATCACTTACATAGAGATTACCGGAAACAACAACAAATATTTGATAGCTTATACCAAATTTATTGAAATCCGTTGTGCCACCCGAAACACCAGTGGGTCCAGCTACAATACTTGAATTAGTTTCATTGTTGTTGTATTCGACAACTCGATAATTATATGAATCGAGTAGGTAGATATCAAAACTCGTGACAAAAAGATCGGTTGGATAGTTCAGTTGGGTCAGACTGTTGCCTGGGCCACTACCGATTATTGCACTAGCAGTTGCCCAGTTTGGAGATACAATGACGATACGATTATTAACACTGTCGGAAATATAGATAGTACCATTGTCTGCAATATAAATGCCACCGTTTGAAATGAGTAGTGATGATGCCGATCCTGGTGTTCCGATGGGTGATCCAACTACAGTAGTGGCATTCACTGACCATTGTGCCGAAGGTGAAATACTCAATTGCCCTACACAGTACATAATAAACCATAGACATAAGTATTCTGTATTAATAATAACTATTAGAAATAATAGGACTGTTTTCTCAATTGATTTTTTTTTGACTGTTAACAAAATGAAAAATCATCGTGACTGGTTTATGCTTAATTCTACCATTAAAAAAGTATTCTTGAAAACCGAGATCTTTAAGCATACATTTTCAGAACATCTGAATCAATATATGCGTTACAAATAGAATTGTTTATTGTTATGTTCTTTTTCGTTTGAGTACGGTAAAACTCAATAGAATTTAAGACTATATGAAATTCTTAGCGTTAAAAAGAAAGAGTTGCTGTAAACCAATTGATATCAAGCAGGACAAAATTATATCCTCACTGGCAACCACGTTCACAAATACCATGATGAATGGTAGATATAATCCGAATTTGTACCAACACACATCTACCATGATGATTTAAACAGGAATTGCCTGATAGAAAATCTTAACGAGTCTAGCTTTCACTAATGTTCAAAGTTAATGTGCGTCTGATGAGTTACTTGTTAAGAATGAGTGTTGGAAAGAAATAAGTAGAGAAAAAATAGTAAATATCAGAGAAGTAGTCAAAGAAACGCTCTGATGAGAATCAGCAATGCGTGCTACTATCGTTGACCACATGGTCCTTGATTCTTCATTGTAAATACTCTCTATTCAAATTTTCATCTGCTTTGATAGACCCAGAAGTGCTGAAATAGAGTAACAGTTAATTTACTGATTAACTACAGAGAGAAACAATAAGTTAGAAAGTGTTTGAATAACAGACTTCTACATGCGTTTGAGATCATTTTCCTGTCACACAATCTAATTACTGAGATGAATTACAAAATTTACAGTTTTAATTTTCTAAAGTTATCCACGTTCTGAATCTGTCCACAAAGAAAATTAACTCGGAATTTCTCTACCTCGAAATTTCTTCGAAATACAATTTAAATATTAAGAATATGCTTTAATGGATAACTCTTGTAATACAAGGTCTAATAGAGCGTTCGAGAGAATTTTTTTCTCTCAATATATCTAATTACAGTGAGAGTAATTTTCTTTAGTAGAACCTCACAATATTACTCTTCAGTTGACGTCAATATTATTAGCTTGAGAGAGAAGGCGAACACTTATATTGGGAACTCACAAGGAAATTTTTTGTTTTAAAATTTAAGTAAGATCGAAGAGAACATCTCTTGGCAATTTAGATCCTGTGCTCATTTCTGGTCAGCACTACTTTGAGTTCAACAAATTATAGAATGTTGATTATGTTTCTTTCTTATAACTAATCGATGAAGGCTCAATTGTCGATGTACCCGTAAATAGATATCGAGAGAACAATTTTCTCCACATTTCTATTAGTTTTTGTGTGGTCAGTATTCGTACTGATCGAAAAATTAAACTAAATCAAAATCTCTTCCCTCATTGTCACGTGCTTCAAACTCATATAAAGAACCAGTGATGGAACATTTTCTTCGCCAGATTTTTTCAACGAATTGGATTAATTATGTATCAACAAATGAATATCTCTGTAATATGAAGTGTTAGCTAATTTTCGTACAGGAGTCAGAATTAGGCTTTAATAATGATCATACAGTAAAAACAGTTATTCATGCTGTCTCAGCTATGGCATCATTAAGTTTTAGTGTCCAGTCATCTGCAGGAATTGCTAGATAATGGCAAAGCTATTGATGCGTCGGGACTGAATGTGTCAAACCAAAGATAAAGGCATGGACCCAGGTCGAACTTTCTGGCCACCGGATCCAGTGGGATACTCCATGGAATATGCGGGAAAACACGGGAAATCGCTGGAATATGGAAGCAGTATTCCGGTCAAAAATACGGCAGGACTTTTCCGGCGGATTCTTGCCAAGTTCCCGGTACGTTCGGTCAGGAATTAATCGGAAATCGCCGGAAAAAATCCGAAAATTTTCCAACTAGAATACTGCTTCCACAAAGTCAACGGAACTACCCGGAACTGGCCGTTTACAGATGTAACGTTATATGTGGAGAGCGTCCAAATTCCACCCGGGGGTGTAACGCTCACGTTCGAATGTAACCTATACATAATATTTGGCCTTATGGTACCATTTATTCTCATCACACCTATTGTCTTTATCCTTCTGTCCTTTATATTTGTCTTTATCATTTATTCTTCTTCGTTCTCTCGAATGGTTGAGTATTTAAGCGCGTGCTTTATATGTAATCGATGCGATTTATGATTTGAAGAGTTAAATAAACTGCAATACCATCAGCACAAGCATCTCTTCTATCTTAAATCGTCACAACAGGCAGGACAGTTCGACCTGGGGAATAAATTTGTTAAATTTTTCATACATAAGTTTTACTTCAACATTTTTGAACTACGTGTCTACTCATTGAGACCATTTGGAGATGATATCTCATTTCAAAACACAGAAACGTCTGCATCTAAAATTATTTGTATCAATGCAGGATTTGTTTCTGAAAATAGTCTGTACATAAGATTTGATACGATTGTACTTGAAGTTATGTCTGTTCAGGTGCTACTCTCCATGTAATAGTTAAGGAATCCCATATTCTGGTGTAACTATTATGGAAAAGATGTGTATGTGTACGTATGTTTGGCTGTGCATTTCAACACAGATGAAAACAATATTCATAACCACATTCTTATCTCATAACCGTGATTATCTTTGCCTGTGTATAATAAATTCGCAGAAGCGCCAGTCTTCGTGTAGATACACATATATGGATTCGGCAACTCACTAGACAAATTTATTCGTCACGACAATTTTTAACATGACATAGATTTTATTGTTCCGTAATTCTTTTTTTTATTACTGGAAAGAGAACTTAGTCAAATCAAATTATGATAGCAGTGCTTTGATTGTATACTTGAAAGTTATCAACTGTATTAATTTTCTATTTGATTATTTTTCAAACATAATTATAAGAGCTAATGTTAATGTGAATATTTAAAAAAAGTCGTTCGAAATATTTCAGATATAAAATTCATATAGAGAATGATTCGTGCTTGAGTACTTCTCAGTATAGTAAGAAATTGATGAGAGCATAACCGCATCAGCTAAACACAATTGGCCCATTATTGTTTTCAAAGTTAATATTCATCGACTATCGTCTGAACAGTTTTTGTGACAACCAATGGAAGTGTGAGTTCGATTTGTGAAAAGTTATCAGAAGAGTGAACTGTTACGCGAAGCGCATATAGTGCAGGATCAGCGGATGTCGAAATCGTGAGTCAGGAAGTATGTATGAGAACGTGTCAGGAATCCTAAGAGGCATATACAATTCAAAACTTCTGTAAAAACGTTTATCTCGCAACCGTTGAGTATCTTCCAGATGCGTGTTAAATAGAGTAATGCGTTCAGTTTTCGTACCACCAATATCCTATATTTGAATGAGAGTGGCATATATATGATGTACCTCTATGCCTTTCGGATTGTGTAATTCCATATCTAACACAAATTTATTTCCAGGAACGACAACATTCTTTGAAATTTTCACATAAACTTGAATATCCTTTCTATTCTTAACTCCCGCCTCGACTGCCATCACTTTGGCAGGCGATGAGAAAGAATGATGAACGATGATAGGAAATTCTTTGTTCAAATTCATCGAGTACCATTCCGGTCGAACCATACGAACACGAATAAAATATTAAATAGATGGATGGCTCGAGTTAACTTTTTCTATTGAAGGCGGTAGAGAATGATCAAGGCGGATGCTAAATGGCCATGTGTGATTACCGAGTGGTAGAATAATTTCACCCGGATTAGTGACGGGCCGTGGGATAAGCCACCGCTCAAAAACTACTAATGTATGTTTACTTGACGTTGATCTATTGCTTCTATTTTCCACAGTGGTGTAGACAAGCTCACCGACAAGTGTAGCATCGATACTTTTTAATTTCAATTCTGGATGACCATTATTGAGTATTTCAATTGTGCCCGAAATAACGTCACCAGTCAAATATTGAGTCTTACCTTCGTCATCAAACCGACAATGGATATCCCATTTAACTACTTTTCTAGCATTCGAACCTATCACATCACAAAATATAAATATTACTGTTACATCAATAAGAACCTGCAGTTTTCACAATGAATTTCTATCATAATTTTAAATCTAATAGTACAAAAACATTCTTCCATATCTGTTTCTGGAAAATTCTCTTTTATGCTATCAAAGAGCTCTAGATCACTATTAAAAGCAGCTGAAAAATTCATTGCAGTATTTCCCTTGGCCGATTCTATTTTCGATCATATTCATCAATACACGACTGCTCGAGTTATAGAACCCTTAAAAAGTAAGTAGATATTTCCTTTTTCAAACTGAAATAGTCTTGAAAAATGAACTACAAAGAGAAATGGCAGGCTCTAATGAGTTCAAAAAAATTCTAATCGCTATTTTATATCCATTGTCAAATAGAATCGGTGAAGTTTTCAATGAATTGAAAATAATTTTAAGTCTCGCAAAACTATTCGTATATTTTCCGCTTTGAATAATTAATCGTAAAGCAAGAAATTAAATACTTATGTTGAAATGAATATGGAGAGAAATTTCTCTATGTATACCTGCTAATTTTGCTCATGCCTGTCTAAATGAGTCACTGACAACCAAGAAAGTAACACCAGCGAGAACAAGCAAGGATGTTATTGTAATAAGTATAATTTTTGTACACTTTGTTAGATGAGAGTCGCCTCTATCAATCGTTGGTTGGTAGGTGATCTCAGCCGTGGGCTGCGCGTTCTGATTGAAATCTTGCATATGGGACAGTGCGTACTGTCTATTATGGATATCTATTTAGTAGGAAGAAAAAGATGTTTAACTTTGTTTCCAACTTCAATTAGCACTCACCTCACTATTTATGTCCAATTGAAAGTCGACTTCGTAATATTTATAATAGCAAGAACTATGTTCCTAGACTGGAAGGGTAAGGTTTAAAAATCAAAAAATCTACTCAAACACAACTGTTATCTGAAACAATTTTAGAAAGCATCAAACCCTTCATTTTCATATCTTTCTTAAGGTATTGCAATTGTCATATTTTCTATACTGAAAATTCTTGAGTCTAAAATAAAGGATTTGATTCTTCTAGTTTTTTCAATATACTCATATTTTTGAGAATTTATATGTAACTCTTGGTATGAGTCTTAATAAATGAGTTTGAAAAGAATATCATCTTATATCGAAGTGACTATTTCTCTATTCTTCTAAAACATACTTTTTACTGTCGCGACGATATATGGATGTTGCTTTCAGGCAAAAAAAATAGGTTCTTGACTATTTTTCTAAGGTATTCTCAAAGTTTAAAGACTGTTGAATCACGATTGAAGATGGTAAAGCGTACGTATAATAGCGGGAAAACGAAGACCTAATATGATATATACAAGGTATTAGAATTTAACGTAAAACAATAACAAGCAATAGATTTTTCATTCGTATGAGTTTCTGCAATAGCTAAACTTTCAAAACATTTACTCTTCTGATATGTCATGTGCTTTCCATCTCAATGAGCTAACAATATAGAAAAACGCGAAACTTGACAGTTTGAGTCAAGCGACAGAAAGATTAAGTAATATAAACTTGTCATAAACAGATGAGTAAACAATGCATAAACGAAACGTTTTTGAAAAACTAAGCACCATCTGTTGGAAATGCACTTATATTTTCATTTGTATTATTCTATTTTTCCACCAATCTTGACTACTTTACATTCATTACCAAGGATACAGAAAAACTAAAAGAAATGCAATGACTACCGTTCAGAAAACACTAGGAATTGAAAAGAGAAATTCGCTTAAATCAAAAGAATTTGTCTCCTATATAGCTGAGCACGACCGGAAAAGTACTTCTGAACAACCCTCAAGCTTTTATCATCTACACAATCTAAAACTATCGGTTTATGCCATTAGTTTTCGTTTTTTTCGCTGAATTGGCGAATCTAATTCACGAGAAATAATCTTGAAATAAGCGTCCGATTCATGATCGGTCTTATATGTATATCGAGATGAAGGATGCTGCACGATGATTAATTCTATACGTAGGCTAAAGTCAATAAGCCCTATCAAACAACTCAAGTTACATCTTTATAGCACTTTTCTGTGAATTTTTCAATGAATACATCATATTGTAAAGGTAAAATTTTCATTCACATATTGTCAAGTTTTGTGTTTAGTTGTTAGAAGTTTGGAAACTAGCTTTTCAGAAAAACCTATACTCTGAAGAGTTCATAAAAAATTATTTTATCTTCAACCACCTATAATTTTGATATTGACTATAGAATTTTCAAATTTCATTTGCCTGCATTCTTTCATTTAGTATAGTCCATTCGAAGAGAGACCATTCATGTCAAATATATATAGGATGTAAATAAAGGAACATTTTATTTTCGATTTTCGGTATAATGATTTTAAGCAAGGATAACATGAAATCTGCATACAATGTTCATATCGATCTCTCTTTGTTTAAAAAAGCAAATGTATAAAGTCAGAATACTAAGAAACTAGTACAACTCAAAATAGGTTTAAAATAAAATTCCTCTTGTTTTTCGAAAGTGTTTCTACATGATGGAATTATGTTTGATAAAGTTTATTAATTAAATAGTTTTTCGTACAATGATAAACGCTGTAGAGGTGTCGGCATAGCAAAATTGCAAACCTGAGATAGACTTGCAAAAAAACAATTTCATATTATACAACATCCGAGTTATTTCGAATACTTCGATGTTATTTTGTAATTTTAAACAAATATGAAATGTTATCTATGTTGATCGACACTCGACTAATCATCGTTGTCATTTTAGAAACTTGATTTTATTACTGTGAACCTTCAGCTCTTGCTGGTCAATGCTCTATTCTATAAAACAATGAATTAGGAAAATCATATTTAGGAATAGATTTTCCATTAATCGATTCATTTCTATGTTGTATTATTTTTGAATTGTATTTATATATATATATATATATATATTGGTTAGTAAATTATTTAAAAAAAGCATGTTTGACAAATAGAAATTCATTCTTCGTCGCTTTTCTGTATAACACTTTGTTCAGTTAATGCTATTGAATCATTGTCTGTCGCCATATTTTGATACGGTTTCGAAGGTTTTACTTTTAAATAACTATAAAGTAGTTTGAATATCATTATAACTATGATAATTAATATTCCTATAATAGGAGTTGCTATGAAAATTCTTAATTTTGCTTTTCGAACATCACATTTCAAATCAAATAATCGCACAGGACATTCAATACCTAATACTTTATTTAATGGTTCATAAAAATCAGCTAATGGTAATGGTGGAGTTTTTAGCCAATTTATAAATGGTTTTAATGAACAGTCACATTTGAGATGTGTATTAGAAAAAAAATCAATCGTTAATAAATGATAATATTCATTTAAAGTAACACCGAAATCGATATTTTCAAGTGAGATGTTTTGAAGCGAAAGATGAGTTAACGTTCTATGCCATGGATAAAAAATACTCCAATTTAATGTTCTATGCCGTTTTTTAAGTTGGTTATTATTTAAAAGTAATGTATGCATATTTGATATATTATGTAAATAAACAAGATTTTCAAATGAATCAAATTGAATAGAATTTAAATTAAGATATCGTAATAAAGGCAAATCAATAATGAATGTTGTTGGTTTAATTGATAAATTCCTATTTTGATTTAATAGAAGTGAATATGTTGATTGACCCTGTAATTTAATTGATTTAAGATTATTTTCAGATAGATCAATAGTATGTGGTGATTCATTCTCCCAATTGATTCTAATAAATTCCATTCTATTCGATGATAAATTCAAGAGATTCATTGATGATAGCTCATACATACCATGAGAAAAATGTATTTGATTTATATCAATAATTTTCAAACGATTATAACTGACATCTAAGGTATAGAATGTCAGATATTTTAGAAAATCAAGAGTTTCTAAACGACTATGACTCATATCAATTACATCGACATGTAGAATGTCTTTCGTTGTTTGATTAAAATCGATTGAGAAATTTTTTACTGCCGTATTTGAAATTGTTAAAAGCTGTAAATATGTATAATCAGACATTAAATGTAAACTTACATATTGTAAATTCATATTATCATTAAAATCAATGGATTTTAAGCGATCATATACATTTAATTGTATAGAATCAATTTTATCAATATTTCTTATTTGAATATTTTCAAGATTAACACTAAGTAACAAATCTTTTGTTGATACGGAATTAATTAAATGTTGATTATTGAATATTAAATTCTTCATGCATTTTATATGTGGATTAAAAAGGCTTAATGAATTAATATTTGTTTCGGTTAAATCAAGTATTAAATGATTATGAAAGAGAGAACAATTTGTAAGAAATTTTTCATATTCATTCATGGGAATTTGTTGACATTGGCGACATAGAAATGTTTCTAAACGTGGTAATAATGTTATACTAAATAGTTGTTTAATTACTGTTGATGAAAGATCAAGAAATCTGAGTGATTGAAATTCAGAAATTTGATTCACAACTGTTGTTAAAGGATTGAACGATAAAATTAAAGTTTCAATTCTATTTAAACAATTTCCAGTTAAACTGTCGATTGATCGTAGTTGATTGTGTGATAAATTAAGATATTTTAACGTAGGAAAATTTTGTTGATTAAATAAAAGTATTTTTTCATCAGCAAATCCATTATAGGATAAATCAAGGTCGATTAATTGTGGAAAATACGACGTATTTAATTGATACCATTGTAGACGTTTTTCATCATGAATTCTTAATGATCGTAGCAGACGAAAATAAATTTTTTCCGTTTGATTAAATAATGGTGACGAAAATGTATTATTCAATAGTGATAGAATTTCAATATTTGAACCAACATTATTAAATAAATCATTTAGTGATAAATAAAAATATGAATCACGAATTTGTACATTATGATTTTTAAGTGTATAACTTAGATCATTGAATAGAGGTATTGGATGAGTGAAGGTTGCATTCCAACATGAAAATAATGTTGTTCGGTCATAAATACATTGTGGAGGGATTTCAGTCCAAAATGAACATTTTGTTTTTTCGATGAATATAAGGAGAATTGAGATTAAAAACTGTTCTTTCATGCTTCTCTTTTTTTCTGTTTCAGAGTACGTTATCAAACCATAAACTTAAAAGGAAAAATGACAGAAAACAAAGATAGAATAAAAAGTTACCTAACTCTTTTTTCTCTGTTCTTTTACTTTTCTCATGATAAGGTCCTTTTTTACAACATAGAAAGAAGGAACTGAAATCGATGTAAATCCTTCTCGTACTGTGCAGTAGGATGAATCAAAAAACGCCGAGGTTACTAAATGTAAAGGCAACTCAAGGCTATTTTGTTTCTTTTTCTTTCGGTCAAAATAATTGATACAAAGATGTTATATCATTGAACATTGCAACAATGATGAGATTAATAATAAAATGAAGAATAAAAAAAGGTTGAAGCAAGTAAACGCGTGAATTAAAAAGAAAATGTCCACTGTTTCTTGAAGCATTACATCATCTTCAAGAAACATATAAACTTTTAAGGAAACAAAAGAAAGATGTCATGCATTTTGAATCGTTATGGAAATACTTTTTTTTGCCTTACATAACATATACTAAGAAAAGTTCATCTTATAAAGAAAATGAGTTTTTTCTCCTCTATTAGCCTTTAATTGCACATAACCAACTTAGTTTTCATCTTACCGCAAAAAAATTTACTTTACACAATAAAAAAAAACTTGGTTACAAGAAGTGACCTTTCCAATTATATACACTATTTATTTCAATGCATTAAATAATATAAAACAAAAATTTTATTTGTTCATCAAGATATCGTAGAATAAGCATGATTAGCTATATCCTTAAATTAGGAAGATATTTTGATTGAAATTAGTTATATTAGCTGCATACGAAACCTAGAATAGATGGCAACTATTCGAGGGCAGAGAGCAGCCTCCATGATTAAAACACAAATTCGACCCTACCGAGGATCGAACACAATCGTGCAATAGTAAGTGTAGGTTAACATTACCACTAGACTACATAGATTCATCGGTGTATGAAAAATAAAATGATCAATTAGTTAATATTCGTAATACGATAAGAGTCCTTCCCGGCAAACTCGTCGATATCAATATATGTTATAAAAAAAACTGATGTCTTCAATCAAATACTTATGAATTGTAGAAATAAATAAATATGCTATTTTTTTTCTTTTGACTTTTGAAACATAGAATAAAATAGTTTGTAGAAATGAATTATACATTCGTTAATCACCATACAAGTCTGTTGATTATGCATGAAGGACAGACTCTCAAAGTATTTGTTTTTTCTCGTTACGTTAGAATGCCTACAGAAATGAATAGAAAAAAACGGAGAAACCTGATTGTACTATGTAATTAGTATAAAATTAACTGAAACCACAAGAAATTCAAGATTATATGAAAATCATGCTTTAAGACTTTATTCAAAATAGCTAATATAAATATAATGAAAATGAATTTACATTTTCATCGCTATTTCAGAAGATTTATGTTTCCTAAATCGACAATTAATTAATTATTTCTTTGGACAAGTGCAAACATAATCTTCAATGTTGATTTTTTGGCGTCGACACTTTATTATTTTAAGTGAGCTATTGATTAAAAATAAAGAAGAAGAGATTATACATAAGAAAAAAAACAGCAAGTGTATGAGAATATGTTTCATGTCGGCATAGTCCTATATTGTACAATCTATAAGTTAATTCAATAGCGTCTAGCTTGATGAACTAAAGAATAACATTCACACAATTGGTATTCGACTGTTGTTTTTTTTTTCGTGTTCTTCTTACTTTAATAAAACAAAAGAAACAAGGTTATATTTTATATTTCGATTCAAATTTCAATCTATCTATTTGTCATCTTAAGAACATACTCTTGATCTTAACTATCAATTTGAAAATGAATCGTTAATGTCTTGTCCATTTTAGATAGAATGCAAACTAAAGGATTAGTTCGAATAAGCGAGAAAAGAAAAGAAATGTATCTTTTTTTCTTTCGTTTCTCACGGTACAATTGCATAATTTGTCTTAGAAGAATTAGCTGCTTTCTAGGAATAAGAAAAACATGTATATATATATATATATCTTTTTATGCGATTGCTTACGGCCACTTGAACAATTAGATTCATGATTAGAAAGAATGTTTGTGCGTTCTGTTCTGTTCTTTATTCTATTCGTTGAACGATGCAATAAAAAATATCATGCAATTAATTTATTCTATTGGATATTGAAAAATAAAACATACGCCGAGAGAGAGAGAGACAGAGAGAAAAAAGATACAGACTATGCATTCATTTTAATTTTTGTGAAATATGATGGAACATAAAGAACCAACAACAGTATCGTCATTGAAATCGAAACTTTTTCTTATTATCACATTAATTACCACTATATCTTTAATTATAATTATTGCTATAGTTCTTTTGGCAAGTAGTAATTATCAACAACAACAACAACCGTCAGAAAGTGCCGTTATAAAACCTCTGAAAACATTTTCTAAGCAATCAACAACTAGTATGTATTGTCGTGTATAATTTGTGTAAAGTTCCCAGGAAGATTATTTTTTAAGTATTTGAACTCGAATCCAGGGAGTATTACCAATATCCCATGAAGTTCCGTAGATAGAATGAGAGTACTCAGAAGACTATTAAATGAGCTTATGGGACATCACATTCATTCTTCAAAACATTTTTTTGAAATATTACCAGAAGCATCAAGCGGATAATCTTACAGAAAAAAATTTCATTTGTTTTTTATTATGTATAAAAGTTAGTCTTAGGAAATGTGGGAGTCTCGCATTGATTTATTTTTCGAGGTTTATGCCTTTTAAAATGACTGATTTTTATATTTTATGACCAATATTGTTTCTTTCCGTAGCGTAACGTTATGCTCTATCTGATTGGCTCGAAAACATTTTGTTTTACACTAACTAATTTAGGAGTGTTTCTTCTGTTTAGCTTCTACAACAACTATATCTCCTGAAGAAATACAACGATTGTCGCTATTCAGAGAATTTCTCAATCTATCATCAAATCGTCCTAATCCAAATCTATCGCGTTCATCACTAACCATGAATAAATTCATGCGTTCAATTTATCGACAAACTTATGACGAAATTGGTGTTCAAAGAAAAAAACGTTACCTAGATCAACATTCAAATTTGTATCTTTCGGAAGATTTGGATTCTATTATTAGTTTACCAAATCAATATCAACATTCGTCAACAAATATAAGTTATCATTTTGAATATGACGGAGCACTAGACTATCTTACATACGCAGAATTTATTTTACCTATGCATCATGTATCTATGATTCAAATATTTTTTTCAACATTTAATATTTCATTCAATCGAGCTTTTACAAAGGATAAACATTGGCTAAAATTAAATTTAACGCAATATACAACATCATTTCCATTAAAATTTCACGTTCAATTTATTCATGCAAAACAAAAATCTGCTTCATTTTCATCAGGTTTTTTAACACTATATTTTCGACGACCATCTCATGCGATATCACGTCGTGATCTATCATCATTCTATGATAATCAACTAATAACATATCCCGATGATCCATCATATTGTCAAGTTCGGCCATTACGTACATCATTTTCTGAACTCAATTGGTCATCATGGATTATTGAACCAAGTTCATATGAAATGAATGTATGTTCAGGTACATGTCATACACAATCCAATATGGGTACTTATTTTATTGTTCAAAATTTACTCAATCAAAAATATCCAAATAGAATTCCAGCACCATGCTGTAGACCAAAACGTTTTTCGTCAACGATTCTTTTGTATTATGATGGACCTAATTTAGTGTTAAAAAGACATGAAAATATGCGTGTTGTTGAATGTGGTTGTTCTTCATAGTGTAAATAGAAAATAAATATTTATGCCTTGGAATTGTTTGAAAATGATACTTTTTAAATTAGATTAAGATTTTCACTTTGAAAGCAAAGCTATTTATAATTGCCGCCTATCGGATTGGTTCTTTTACTGACTGTAGAGAATCATTTATGAAGTGTGGAATATCTTTGAGTTGAATTTTCTCAAATTTGCTTTTACATATAAGATTATTGCGTTTTGTTTCGGTTTTCTTTGAATCATTAATATATAAAGCGATATACAGACTTGAGATGTTATCACATAATTTAACAAATAAAATGTAAAGGGTTCAAATTGTTTTTTTTACTGAATATGAAAATGAAGACCACTTGGAAACATATCTTATTGTAAATCTATTATGCTTGTTCTTTTTCAAGCGACTCTGCTAATTGTCATTCTCTCTATAAGCTTGTGAATTTCTAGATCATTCAGTAAACGATTTCACAAAACATAATAAAAAAAATCGATTTACTCTAATAGGACACTGATAAAAGCACAAAGAACACTTTCTTTTTTATGGAATGTTTTTGTTATTTATGATTTGTGTATGTCGTATCGAAGTTACAACTTCAATGACACCGGCTATCGAAGTTCTTTTTCATCAAATAAAATCATCTTGAAGGTGTGGGTGTGGGATGTGGGCTGGGTGTAGGCCGGGTGTGACTGCAGATATGAATCTTCTTTTCACCTAATAACTCACGATCACAACTCTTAGATCCGCGCCTCACACCCACACCCAACATTTTCCTATCACTGTACCTGTTAATCCTGTAAATTCTAGGCTATCTTTAGTGTGATAATAAGATCAGATTTTCCGCCAAAACTTTGACTCTGTTTACTCATGAGAAAATATATGATAAAACGATCAGTATTTTTCTAAAGATTATAAACGAAAAGTTTTATTGAAAGATTCTTCAAGATCTTTAGTCATTTTTATAATACTTTTCACATCTTCTGCCGTGTTGGCAGAAAAATCGTCAACGCCTTGAAACTTTTTCAAATGAAAAATTTTACTCATATTCAAAAGTTTTAAATAGACTACAGGTTCCTAACTATTTAGACTCGTATTTTCAATCATACTCGATAGATAGCGTACAATATCATCAGACAATTTTATCATTTATTAATCGGACGGAAGTTCAGTCAATATACATATTTCCTAAACAAGAGTGGCACTATGGTTTATCTTTTGTTTTGAAATCATAAGTACTTCGTATATGCTTATGGTAGAGTTAAGCGAACATTAAAAAGCTATTCAGCGCAGCCCCGTTGGGCCTAAAATGTGGAACTCACGTATATCATTGAAGCCTCGGTAAACCAATAAAAATGTGTAAAATGAAAAATTTCTCAGACTACTGATTTTTCAAAAAAATTGATCATCACAGAAAAATCTCTCTCATTTATTTTTACATTTTCAAAAGATTATTGTATTTTGGTTGGCGCCCTTTTTTTTCGTTTTTTCCTCGTTTTTTAAACTTTTTATTCTAATTAATAATTAGCTTTTAATGTCTGTAATGGGTATGTCTGTAAAGGGAGGGGAGGGTGGTGAGCAGCAAAATTCTGCCGCTTAAACTTACACTCACTATTTTCTTCAAAAATATACCCTAATCAACTCTCCCTAGAAGAATCCTCATGGAGTCCCTAGGGATTTCGTTCTTTTTCGGGGACTTTCTGGGGAGTTTTCCGGCCAAAATCGATGAAATATCTAATAACTAATAAATTCTTCTAAGTTTTTTAAAATTTAAAAAAATTAAGAAGTATTTTTTTTTAAATTTCATCAATTCTCCCCAGAGAAACCCCCGGAGAGTCTCCCAAATAAAAAGTCCCTGGGGACTCACGACAGGGACTCCTCAGTGATTTCGTTATTTTACGGGGACTCTCCGGGGAGTCGTCAGGGAGAGTGGATTAGGGACGTGGGTTCCACAAAATACGGGTTTGGATATCGTATTTGTGTATCTTTCTCAGAGCTAAATAATCGCCATGCTCGTCATTGGCAGTTTTGTGTATTACAGTTTATAAAAGAAAAACATTTAATATTCTGAAATCACGTATTAAAGTCAATAAACTCTAATACACTTGAGAGTAGACAATATTCTCTACCAAGCTAGTTGTGTATCTCAACATCGGAGAATTTGAAAGAAATTAACGACCTTTTGCTAGGCGAGACGAACTCCATCATTTGAAGAAACTGCAATAGAAAAACATACAACGCAGCATTTATTAGGATTGCAGCGAAAAAATTATTTGCAAAGAACGCCTCCTTCAGGATTTATCAGGACATTGCGGTGCATGGAAAAAGAAAAATGCCACGTTGTTTTTTGCTTCCTCTATAAACACAACAGTTGATCTTCAATTTCTGAAAGCAAACATTGCAAATTATTTACGTATTTTCGATCTACTCGTTACAATGTTCCGCAGGTTTGTTCTTCCTAAAAGCTCTTTCAATTTTTACACATTAGAATAAAATCATCCAAATGAATTTTAAGCTCTTGAAAGCTGTCTGCTCTGTTTTTTAAACAAGATTTTTTTACCCTTGTCTAATTAAAAAAATTAACGTCTATGCAATTATTCAGCTGCATTTTCTATTTTCCAGCTGACTTTCATCAATGAGTACACGTTTTCAATCATTAAGATCACTCCTTATACGTAGTAAAGTATGTAACATGAATACATATAAAACGTTGTGTTCGATCCATTCAAGACATTTTACAGGCTTTCAATACTTCCAGGTGAATGAATCCGACAACGGATCTTATCGAATCCTATGGGATCCGACTCCCCGACAGAATCCGATAGGATCCTTTACTGTCGGAATGATTCTCCGGGGCTGCTGTATAGAAGAAAACACGTTTGGAATGCATATATTTTGATGTGAGCTTGAAAAATTTTCATTTACCAAAACTACATTTGCTCTTTGTAAAATTTATTATTATCATCCGATGCAGAATTCAAAGACGAACAGCATGTTTGAACTAATTTTTAGGTTATGTCGATAAAAACAGAAGAAGAGTTACGATAATCAATGATATCAGAAAGTATCTTTTTCAATTGTATCCTATCAAGCTCTAAAACATGTAGTTGAACATCTAGAATCTGATGAATAAATTTGTATTACAATATAAAGTTCTGCGCAATCATCATTTTTTAAATTTTCATTAGATATTTTTTACTATTGTAGCAGAATGATAGAATACATGTAAATGTTTTTAATTAAGTATCTACAAGAAAACTTTATTTAAAAAATAAAGCAGATTGTATTGTACAGAGTTGTGAAATTCACCATCTTTTTCTAAGCGAATGTTCGTAAAAAGCAATCTATCAAATCTAGGCATATAACAATACCCCATACCAACCAATGCGGTATTCATATTGCGACACACTGTAATTTTTTTTCAAATTCTATAAATTGAAAAATCGATCTCAAATAAATTGAAGCATTCTTAAAGCTTTATGATTTATTCATTGGATTTTGCACAAATTGAAAATGCTTGACTTTCCCATTTATAGAAATTGAATTTCTATTTCAAAAGAAATCATTTTCTATAAAGTGGAAAATCCACAATAGGTTTCTGGCCATTTGAAAATTAGTTCCGATTTCATAGAAAATCGATTGAGAATTTTTAAAAAACGAAAAAATTGATTCTATTTCTTCCAAGATTGTCGAAACAAAGACCGTCACTTAGTCATTGTCCTGTTTTAGTATATAGTCAGTATCCAGGTCGATCAACTTGTGTCGTACACGGCCGTTTGACCATAATTTACGACCGTTTGGTATGCACCGTATTACGGTCGTTTTTGTATTGTGCCATAAACGATCGGGTACGGTCGGATACGGAAATATCCAACCACATTACGGTCGTTATAACGACCGTATACGACACGATTAATTACGGCCATAATACGGTGCATGACAAAACTTCAAGTTACGGTCACTTACGGTGAGAAAAGGCAGGAAACGGCAGTATACGTTAACGTTTACGGCTGTATACGACCGTTTCTGGCAGCCGTAATGCTTGGCCTGGGTAGGTATCATGTTAAAGATTCATTATTTTCTTCAACTCTCCATTAGGAGTTATTAAATCTTTTTTCACATTTTATATTGTTTTTTTATTTCATTTTGCCTTTTATTTTTTTAGTTCTTATTTTATGTTAATTATTGTTCTATTTTAGTTTTTTACATGATGCGAAGCAGAAGCATTTATGTAGTCCATCGCGAGTTTTTTTTTCTTTTACTTTCTCGACGTAACGCACCTTTTTCATCATTGTGTGACCCGATGATTTCGAGTGCCGAAAATCATATAAAACTCATTGAAACGGGAGATGAAAGCATCGAGATCGAACTTCTAATATGTTTTTTCTATTCTTTAATCTGATATTCTGTTCACTCACGTTGGGGAAGTTAGCACAAGATTCGAGTTTTTCCAGCCAGGATTCGCCTATATGGTTGTGTTGAATTTCATTTTCGTTGTGTTGGATGTAGAATTTTGTGCTGAATCGAATGGTGTAATTTTAGGAGGGGGTTGTCGATCAAAATCTGGCACTTTACCTGGAAATACTGCTTCTTCTGAAAATCTTGTAGAAGTAATTTCAGCCCGGATTCGCTGTTTTAGCTGTGTTGAATCTGAAAATGGTTGTGTTGAATTCAGAATGAAATTCTGCATCGAATGATGCTAAACTTGTATGGGGTCATCGATCAAAAAATGTCTGGTCTCACCCAAGTCATCCCTCCAAATCTATATTCCAGCCCCACCCAAG